GCCATGCTGCCTCAAGGGTGGGGGGGGAATGAAAGTAGATGAAGAAAAATCACAGCAACAAATGGAAAACAAAACACTGGTGGTATTAGAAGCCCAAGCCTGGAGACAGATCACAGAGGACAGGGAAAACACCCAGGTAAGGTGATGGAGGTTGTGTGTCAGCATCTTTAAAGGCCTTTCTTTGGGGAGCTATCCTAATAATAATAAGAGCTAACATTTCTGTGCATTTACCAGAAGAGAGGCACTGGGTTAAATGCCTCGCTTGTACTATTTTGTCTAAACCTTGAAACAAGCCTATATTTTAGGTGTTTTTTTTAAAAAAGATTATTTATTGGGGCACCTGGGTGGCTCAGTCAGTTAAGCGTCTGCCTTTGGCTCAGGTCACGGTCCCAGGGTCCTGGGATCGAGCCCCACATCGGGCTCCCTGCTCAGTGGGAAGCCTGCCTCTCCCTCCCCCACTCCTCTGCTTGTGTCCCCTCTCTTGCTGTCTCTCTCTCTGTCAAATAAATGAATAAAATCTTTAAAAAAAAAGATTATTTATTTATTTATTTAGAATGTGAGCTGGGAGCAGGGAGGGAAAGAGGGAGAGGGAAGGAGACTCTCAAGCAGATTCTGCACTAAGCTCGCAGAGCCCAATGCTAGGCTCCATCCCACAACCTGATCACTACCTGAGCCAAAATCAGGAGTCCGAAGCTCAATCCATGGAGCCACCCAAGCGCTCCTATTTTGGGTGTTTTTATTTCATGTCTATTTTATAGATGAAGAAACTGAGGCTCAGAGAAATCAAGCCAAGTGTCCAAGGTCACACATCCTGGGAAAGGAAGCGCTTGGATTTGAACCGAGGTCTCTGTAACCCCAAAGATCTAGCCGTTCTTCATTTTCCAACAGCGCTGCACATGTGTCTTTGCTCTGTGCAGGGAGAAGGAAGGGAAGGCACGGTCTCCATCACGGGTGGGAAGACGTCTGGCTACAAGGCTGGGTGTGCTCCTCACCGGAGCTCTGGGTGAAGGGCAGCGATCAGATGTCCAGGGCCAGGGCCCTCCCTCTCATCTCCTCCCACGTGCAGATCCTGGCGGGAGAATATGGCCTCCACAGCCTTGAGTGAGCTGCCTTCCCACTCAGAAGACAAATTCCCAGAGCAAGAAATGTCGCCTTTGCCCGTTCATGCACTCTCTGTGTCTCTGATTCTCTCTGTCTCTATCTCTGTTCTCGGTCATGCTGTATCTCTCTCCATATCCTCTCACACTTCACTTTCTGGCTGGGAATTGAAAGGCTTCCTGTCCTTTATAAAGGGATTTCTAGTCCTAATGAAACACCACCCCCAACCCCCCACCCCACCAGGGCACTCAGGCTCAGTTCCTGGCACCGATGAGGCAAGTGCACCTCCTGGTGGGGAAATGTCTCTCTGGTCCCTCAAGGTCCGGCTCCAGCCTCACCCCCAGGAAACCTCTATGTGCCTGACAATGTGCGTCAGAGAAGGTGCTCGGCTTGCAGGCTTCTTTCCTCACCCCCAGGAAACCTCTGTGTGCCTGACAATGTGCGTCGGAGAGGGTGCCGGGCTTGTGGGCTTCTTTTCTAGTTTCTTCAGGTTAAAGCTTGCATAGACAACTGGGAAAAGCCACAGACATGAGCTCGTCCTGCAATTGCAGGACCTGAGCATCAGACTTGGAACCCCAGGTGCATTGCAACCTGCCCTCCTGGGAGAGGTACTTTCAGACCCCACGAAGCCTAGCCCCATGGTTCCCAATCCTGGCTGAACTCTAGTACCAGCTGGGGACATCTAAAATGTGCCGATGGTCGGGCCCTGCCTGGAATCCTGGCACTGGTATTTTTAGATGTGCCCACCCCCCTGTCATGGCCCAACGTCCACCCGCCATCATTTGAACTGTAGCCAGGGTTGAAACTATAGGAAAGATGGGGTTTCCAGATCCTACCTTCGACCTGCTGGATCAGAATCTCAGAGAGAGACTAGAAGCCTGTCTTTTATTTTTTTCAAGGATTTATTGATTTTAGAGAGAGAGAGAGAGCATGTGGGAGGGGGGCAGGGGGAGAGAATCTCAAGCAGACTCCCTGCTGAGCACGGAGCCCAACACAGGGCTGGATCCCATAACCTGTGAGATCGTGACCTAAGCTGAAACCAAGAGTCGGTGCTTAACCGACTGAGCCACCCAGGCACCCGAAGAAACCTGTCTTTCAAAACAAGGAGCTGAAGTGATTTTTAGAAACAGTGCACTTACAAAGCACTGGGAGACCCCCCCTTCATCTTTACGGGAAGGCAGTGGGGTCCAGGGAGGTGACGAGCCAACCCCAGGCCTTGCAGCTTGTGGACAGCTGGGGCCCAAGTCGCTGGATGCCCGTTCAGAGGGGCCATGAGAGGCAGGGAGGCGGTGCCCGGCCATAGGTCCAGGCTGCTAAGCGGGAAGGAGGGACTCATTTCCTCTCCTGCTTATACGAGCCCTTCCAGTCCTACCTCCAAAGGCATCCTTAGGTCCTCTCAGCGCCCTGCTCCTCTGTGAGCCCTGTGGGCTCGGATCCGTCTCTGTCTGGCACCCTCCCCCTCCCTCTACAGGGGCTGCCGACTCTCTGGTGCCCTGAATTCCAGCTTAGCTTCCTCCAGCTGTGCGCCCTCATCCCCGGGTCTGGGCCTGACAGCCCCGATCCCGAGATTCTGGGGAGATGGGGTGTGGGCACTAGGCCTCCTCCAGAGTTGGGGGAGGCTGAGCTGCAAATTTTTTTCTGAAAGACTCAGCAGCCACCTCCCCCAAAGAGCCCTTGGTTCCTGGGGAGGTCAGAGGCAATTCTCTGGGGGACCCGCACTGCCCCGAGGACAAGGTTCCCTGTTCCTAGAGCCCTCTACCTCCCAAACCCTGGACTGCCTAGGGGAGATCTGTCCAAGCCCCAATCTGACCACGTTGCCTGCTACACACACACACACACACACACACACACACACACAGCTCCAGCTGAGACTTGCTCGGTGAGCCTGCCTGACCTACCTGGGCCAGTACCCCCTGCTCCTGAGAGTGTCCTCTCGCCTACTTAGTAGTTTATGGCAAGGGGCTGGGGGCAAAGAATGGGTTCAAATCTGGGGTCCAGCACTGGCCCGCTGAGAGCCTCTGGACAAGTTTTGTGATGTGGAGTCTCTGCCATTTACTTCTTGTATGGAAAAGAGTAGAGGCATAATAACAATGGTGATGCCTTCCCAGAGCTGTTTGTGAATCTATAGATAGTATGGGAATGTGCTCTGGAAATCACAAGGACTATACAGACATGAGTTTTTCTTTGCCCAGTCACTTCTGTTCTCCTTCAGAGGCAGCCCCCGCTGTGAGCTTCTCCCAGCCCAGCAGCTCCCCGCCAGTACTCTGCCGCCACAGTCTAGCAGCTGTGCTTGGGTCCACATCCCCATCCCCCCATTAATGAGCAGCGTGGCTTAGGAATACTACCCAAACTCTTTGTGCCTATCTTTATTCCTCCGTACATGGCATTGTAATATTCCTGCTTCCTTGGGTTACCAGGATCAGAGGAGTCAAACATGGCAAGTTGATGGCCAGGGGTTCAAAGGGAGGGAAGGAGGGATGAATTGAAGCACAAAGGATCTTTAGGGCATCAAAACTCTTCTGTATGATAGTGTAATGCTGGAGGCATGTCATTATATATTTGTCCAAATCTATACAACATAACACAAAGAGCGAATCCTAATGTAAACTACAGGCTTTAGCTAACAATAATGTGTTAATTTGGCTCATCAATTGTAACAAATGTACCACACTATTGCAAGATGTTAATAAAAGGGGAAATTGAGGGGTGGGAGTGAGGGGTTAATGGACATTCTTTGTACTTTCCACTTGTTTTTCATAAACCTAAATGCTCAGAAAAATCTATTATAATAAATCTATTTAATAATAATCTATTATAATAAATCTATTATAAATAAAACAAACAAAAAAACCTGTGACAAATAGCGAGCCTCCTGAACAGTGCAAAGGCTTAAACATTTTTTTGGAGTTACCAGCCCGTCATTGTCCACACATCGTTGATGAGCATGGTCTCAAGACTGGGAGCCCAGGGCACTTGCTCCCCTGTGCACGCACCCCCAACAAGCACGGCTCTCACCGACAGTTAGGGCGCTTTGCTGAGCAGAGTCCCCGACTCAGACCTGGAACCCAAGGATTTCTGAGGTGAGGGCGCCACCTGCTGGCCCTGCTCAAGCCTCTCCTAAAAGGCAATGACCTTTGGGTGTGCGGCGTTGTCCTCGGGGCGGGAGCCTCGGTTTCCACGGATCCGCGAGTCCCTCGCTGTGCCACTCATGCAAACCACCTGTGTCACGTAGCGAGTCCAGGCTTGTTACCAGTAACGACATCTCGTGACTTTATTACGGAGAAGTCCCCAACGTGCTGGAGCGCAATCAAGATCAGGGGCAGGTGGACGCTTCTCTGGGGGGAGGTCTCGGAGGACCCAGTCCTGCTTCCGGGCTAGCAGAAAGGGAGCCGCACAGGGGTGCGACGGCGCAGGTCGGAGCAGCGGGACTCCCAGCCACCGGCAGCGACATCTCTTCTCGCTTTTGGCGCCAGCACAGGGGAGTCTTAAGGATGCCAAACATTTAACGGTGTGTCAGGACCTATTCTGAACATCTTACTGGGGTTAACTAATATAATCCTCTTGAGGAACATACGAGGTAGGTACTATTATGGTTCTTCCCCACTGTACAAATGAGACAGCGGAGGAACAGAGAGGCCAACTGACTCACCCAAGGTCACACTGTCAGAGAAGGGTGGGGCTGCAATTGGATGTCCGGAGTCCATGCTGTGTGAGCGACCTCTCAGGCCGCCTCTACCTCTACTTTCCTCATCTGAGAAATGGGTGTACCAATTCCTCCGTGCCTTTCCAGGCTGGCTGGGTCTGGAATAAAAGCTGAGAGGTGAACACGCCTGGTCTGTTCTACAGGTTGGGCCGCAGGTGCGAGCCATCCCCGGGCCCCACGGGTGCCGGACCCGTGTCCCCGCGCCAGGGTCTAGGGTTGCAGCTCGTACTGCTGCTCGGTGGCCGTGTGGAAGTCCTCGAGCACTGACTGCAGGAATTCGAAGGTGGGCCGCTCCTCCGGCCGGTTCCTCCAGCACTCGGCGATGACACCTCGGTACAGCTCCGGCGGGCATGAGTCGGGGCGCGGCATGCGGTAGCCGCGCTCCAAGCTGCGGATGACCTCGGGGTTGCTCATTCCTGCAGGCCGAGGGGACGCAGAGCGCGGCTGAGGGGCGGCCTGGGCTCGTGAGCCACAGACCGCCGCCTCCTCCCTCGCAGGTCACCGGGCTGCCTGGCTGTGCCACTGAGAAACATCCCTGAGGCTGGGGATGGTCTCCTTAGTGCAGGACAGTTCCTCCGTGTGTGGGACCCTGTCTTGCTTATCAGCGATGGGCACACAGCCGAAACCCGTCCCTCACTGGGCAGGTGCTCCGTGAAGACGCACCAGCCAGCAGAGGGACATGGCTCGCTGCAGGCTGCTGAGCTGCCCAAGCCCTTGGGGGCTGGGCCGGGGGGCTGGGAAACTGCACAGTCAGGATAGGGCTTCCCGGAGTACACCCCAGGTGGAAGGCCAAGGGAGAGACAACCTGTCCTCAAGTGAGAACAAACCAGTGTGGAGTAAACTTGAGTTCAGACACTGACCTTCACTGAATTCCTGGTTTGGGGGTTTACTGACCTCTGCTGAATGAAGGGGGCACAGCCCTGTTGCCAAAAGCAATGTTGAGGAAGGGGGCGGAGCCTCTGTCCCCAGAGGGGCATACATGGGTCTCTGTTCTGGCTGCGGGACCCCATTCTGGCATGGATGTGGGCAACCCCAGGCACCAAGGTTGGGGTATCTGTCATTGCAGCCATTTCTGGAAGGCAGGAAGCCCAACTAGTCACTGCGGGGCGAAGCCACCTACCTGGGTAGGGTACACGCCCATAAGTGACGATTTCCATCAGGAGGATTCCAAATGACCACACGTCTGCTTTGATGGTGAACACCCCAAAATGGATGGCCTCTGGGGCAGTCCACTTGATGGGGAACTTGGCTCCTGTGAGAAAAGCCACGAGCAGCGTTGTGAGGCCATGACTGCCTGTCCCTATGCACGTGTCCCTCCCCCCTTTTGCAGGGCTTGGACCACTCTACACAACGGCGATGCTCCCAGAGACCCACTGAGACTCACTAGGGCACGGGAGCAGGAACGTTTAGACACTAGGGGTCCACAGCACAAGACACAACCTCTGTCACCCTGTTTGGGTCTTGGCTCAGTGGGCTTCACAGCGCAACCCACATGTGTTTCCACCTGGGACAGAAGGGTCATTTTCCACCTCACATGTTTAACAACAGGGATCCATGGCTTGAGTAAGTCTCCTTAACTTGTCCCTGCCTCAGTTAATCCTTACCTGCAAGATAGAAATGATGACATAGGACTCATGGACCACCTAGGTCACAGTGAGGAGGGAATTCCAATCCTGCTGTCCCATGAAGCCCCGTGGATGCCTGCAGCCCTGGTCAGCATTCAGAGTAGATGGCATACAGCTCAGCACTGGATTACCTCCTTCCTTGCCCTGCTTTCTTGGTCTCCCCAGCCAGCCTGAAGTTTCCTCAGGGAACAAGCTCCACTGATCCTCCTCCTGTACCGACTGGGATTAATATGCTCAGCTAATATTGCTGGCTAGCTTACTTGAGACATGTATTTGCCATTTCAAATCCTCTCGCGAAGAGGATTTTTTTTTACCTCAGTTATACCAACACAGGAAAGCAGAGGGCTCTGTGGAAACCCTAATTCGTGTATAAGCTTTTGCTGCTCATGCTTCAGAAAAGTGTTTTCCAAAGTGTGTTCTGTGAAACCCTGGTTCCGTGGGAGGCTAATAGAAGCTAAGTGGAAAAAGTATCTTGGGCTCAACTTAGTTTGGGAGAGACCAGGTGAAGCAAATGTACACTGTTTCTTTGCTGCAAGACTTCTCAGTGCCTTTAATACGTTGGCGTGCACCAGAAATCTCCAAAGGGGCCCTGAACAGACTATGCAGCATTTCCAAACCTGCTCCATCACAAAGCCATTCCTCATCGGGCACTAGCACTCTGCAGAGCACCTTTAGGGAAATGCTGGTCTACCTGGGAGTAAGGCCAGAATTGGGAAAACCACAAAGCTCTCAGATCTCTTCACATAGGGCTCTGCTCTGGAGCAGCAAGGAGAAGTCCAAGGGGGTTTGAGGAGTTGGGGAAGGTAAGGTCCAAGGTCTCCACTCACCTTCTTGGGCAGTGTATTCACTGTCAATGATGCGGGCCAAGCCGAAGTCAGCGATCTTACAGCACAAGGTCTCAGACACCAAGATGTTGGCTGCCCTCAGGTCGCGGTGGATTGAATTCATTTGCTCAATATATGCCATTCCTTCGGCAATCTGGGGGAAGAGGCCCCACAGTGAAGGACAGCGTAGGGACCTCCAAGCAAGGATGGAACCCACCCAGCATCCCCTGCACAGCCCCAGTGAGGAGAGGAAGGACCCTGCCCACCTATCTGGAGGGCCAGGCTTCACCCCCTCACAGCCCGGAAGGGGCAGGAACACTTGGGGGTCTGTGTTTGTGTCTGTGCTCGTGTTTGTTGGCAGGGTCAGAGGGGGTGGAGGGTGCTGCTGGGGAAGGAGCAGGTTCTTGAGTGGAGAGGACAACTGGCTTCAATTGCTCCTCAGCTGAACAAGCCATGCACCCCAGCCCTCGAAAAGCCCAGAAAAGCAGAGACGCTGGTGTCAGAACCAGAGCTGCCTGAAGCCCTCCTCACCCACCTCTGTCTCCTTCCAAGTGTCTGCCTGGGAGGAAGGCAGCAGAATGAAAGCAGGAGAAGAAGGTCTCTCAAGGGGCAGGGGAAGAGAAGGGCAGGGAAGGAGGGAAGGAAAGGATTTTATCTCCTCGCCCAGTCGGAAGCACTGTTCTGGAGCAAGGAGCCTTGGATTGGAGCTGCTTAAGCTCCCGGAGGGCACCCTGTCCTGACCTGCAACACGAAGAAAGGGGTCTCCAGGGTGCGGAGTTGAGATGGGTGTTATACCACACAGGAGGCCAAGGGCCTAACCCAGCGCTGCCCTAGGCAGGCTCTCAGAGGGCATGTGCAGAATCCCCATGGCCCAGCGGCCATTTCTGTTTCTGTCCCCAATCGCCAGCACCGGGCCAGGTATAGCAGCTTGTGTCGCCCTTGTGTCTTGTGGTTGAGGAAACTCATTCAGGCTTTATTCACGGCACTCTCAGATGATGGATGAAAAAATTGAGGCAGAGAATAGAATGCTAATGTACCTCCTCAGACCAGCGATGGCAAGAAGGCAGCACTGAAATTCATCCCACTTCCCCGTATGTGTCCAGCTGCACTGGTTTATTCATGAATCCATTCACTTAGTCATTTAGTTATTCCTTTGCTAAATCAGTGCATCAATATACATTTATTGGTATGCTACTGTGGGGACTAGAAAGCTGAATACCAAATATCTTGGATCTGGATAGCATCTACCAGTACTCCTCCCATTAACAAATATGTACTGAGCAGTACTAGAAATACCACCAAAAAGAAAAAAAAAAGTTGTGAGGGACCCAGATGTGCTTTCAAGAAGACTACACCACGCACAATGCTAACAGAAACTCGTGTACTAAGTGCTCTCTGCCACTTTCCCATCCAGGGAAATTTGAATTGAATTTATCTTGGGTCTTGAAGGTTGATGAGGATTTTGCCAGATGAAATGCCAGGATTTTGGCCAGGCGTTCTGGACAGAGAGGGCAGCCTGAGCGAGGGCTCACTGGTGTGACAGGACATTTGGGGGCTGCTGTGGGGCTGCAAAGTAGGGCATACGGGTTATGGTTGTAGGGGAGATTTGCATTTCATCCTGCAAAGCAGGAAAGGGGGCGTCCAGAAGGGTAGTGCGTGTGTGTCCACACGTGTGCATGGTGAGGGGCTAGCGTGATTAGAATGTGGTTTAGAAGCTGTTCACTTGGAAGGTTCTGATTTTCTGGTTTCCTAACCCTTAGATTCTTGGCCACGTCTAGGTATAAATGCAGGTGGCTCTTCACAGCCTTTGCCCCTGGGGGACCCGATTTCCCCAGGGACGGAGAAAGAGACAGAGGAGAGTGAGAAAAGGCAAAGAAAGAAAGAAAAAAAGGGGTGGACATGCTTATCACTGTTATGTGGTTTGAAACTGGTTCCCAGCGTTAATTTTCCGAGACCACTCAGCAGCCTACTCAAACCCATCTGCGCTTACCTCAGTGGAAAAAGGGCATCGTGACATCAGTTCCTGCACTGATACTAATAACAGATAATACCAGCCAAGGTGGGGATGGGGTGGTGTGGGGTGAGGGGAAGGTTTCCTCTCTGGAGGCGGAAGTGTGTGTCTTTCTGTGTCTCACCGGCTGACCACAGACCAGAGCTTTTCTGCTGAGAGTTCCAGCTCTAACAGACACACACACTCAGGGCCACCAGATGTGTTTTCCTGCCAGTTAGAACCCTCAGCTAACATCCCCAGGGAGGAACGCTCCCTCCTCTCCGTTTCCCTCTTCATCTCATGAAGTCTGGATTGCGATTCACCTGCTAGAGAAGGCATTTGTGGGCACAATCTGAGGAAGAAAGGTGGTCACAAAACACCCATCTACACTCTTACATGGAATGCAAGTAAACTCTCTGGGTTTCCCACACCGTCCGTTCTCCCTCTCTTCCTGAGTAATAGGACTCACCTCATTCCATCCCGAAGGCCCAGAATAAAGACTACATTTCCTAACCTCCCTTGCAGGCTAGGTGTGGCCAGGTGACATGGTTGGAGGTGGGAGGTGGGGGGAGAAATGTTAAAGCAAGGGTAGTAGGTGACTTCAGGGACATGTGTCTAGAGGGAAGAAAGTGGGCTTTCTTCTCTCTTACTTCTTCCTGCCAGTTGAGAAGAGGACAAGATGGTAAAGTGTGAGCAAACATCTTGGGCAAGAAGATGACATGCTAAGTGCACAGCAGGAGGAAGAAATGTGGGTCCCTGGGTCTTTGAGGGAAAGACCCACCTACCTGCCCCCACACAGACCACCTCTGGATGTTTACAAATTTAAACCATTATTACTTTGGGGTTTCTGTCCTTCCCAACCCAGCCTAAACTGCATGGATACAACCTCTGAATAGCCAATTTCGGGAAGCCACAGGGCACAGGGGAGAGGGCCTGGGGTCATTACTCTGGGGCTCCGCTGTACTTGATAGCTCACAAACCTGGGCTGACATGTCGATCAGTCTGGGAAGGGACAATCTGCTACCTTCATCCGTCTTCAGGAAATCCAGTAAGCATCCTAAGGAAAGAGAAGTTGCATCTGCTCTTCTGCAAAATGATCCGAGCCCAGCTGTGCCCGTCTCTCCCAAATGGGGGCTGCTCCCCACCTGGCGTCAGGAAGCATGGGGAACCCTGTCAGATCTCTTGCACGCAGAGAATAAAACCCCCCACAGCTGCAGAGTGCTTTCTGCTTTACAGAAATTCTAGTCTTGGGCGCCAGAGCATCCCAGGAGGCAGGTACTGTGCTCCCAGCTGCTCAGAGGAAGGTCGGTTCCAGCCATGTTCAGAGCCACCCAACCAGGGAGCCAGGAGCAGAACCTACTCTTCCGACCATAAGCCATTCCAAAGGGTCTTCTTGTCCCCTTCACCCTTTGTTGGCAGAGATTCTGCCTCTGAGGACCAAGGGTGCAAGAAAATGCCAGAATGGAGAGATCTGCCTCCTGGGGTTTGCTGCTGGGGACAAATGCAGCTCCACCATGGCATCTAAGAGCTGGGAGGGATGGTCACCTGAGGTGGGCTGAGGTGAGCAGGGGAGCTATTGTGCTCCCAGCTCAATGGGGGGGCCCCCTTCAGGATGATTTCTAAGGAGCTAGGTTAACATGGCAGGTTAGGATCCTACAGGAAGGAGTGGGCAATCAGGGTCACAGGAGGGGTGGGAAGGAGGTCACAGGCTGACCCCACGCCCACTGCCCCATGAGACCTTGCCCCTCCCCCCCGCCCCCACGGACCTCCATAGCCAGCTGGCCCGACCTCTCTTTTCACCCATGCTGTCAGTTATGGTTGTCAGAGGTCCACGGCTTAGTGAGTGGCAGAACTGGGACCAGAGCCCATCTCTGGACGCCCAGTCGGCCACTCTTGGCAATGCTCTGCCCTCCCTAGTGGGCATGCAACAGTTCTGGGCACAGAAGATGCCCTCCAGAAATGTGGCCTGAAGTGTGTCCAAATGGGGGACACAGCTCTGTAAGAACCATTGACCCATCTTATTTCTCACCATCCTTCCTGCCTGCCCCCCAGCATGTGGAATACCTTAGATCTGTCAGACGTTGGCTAATTGATGCAGCCCATGGCCCAGTGATGCCTCCACGGAGGTCCCCTGACCGGCAGACCCACTGCAGCAGATCAGCCTCAGCCTTCTGGGCCCCCCAAGCCTGGACCCCGCCCCTCCCTGCCCCTGTCTGACGATGCAACCCCATGCAGGGCACCACCTCTGGCCATGTACTCCGTCACGATGTAAATGGGTTCCTTGGTGACCACGGCATAGAGACGAACTAGCCTCTCATGCTGGAGAGTTTTCATCAGGTTGGCCTCTGCCAGGAAGGCCTCCGGAGACATGGTTCCCTCCTTTAAGGTCTTGATGGCCACTTTCACGTTGTTCTTGTAATAACCTGAGCCCGGGTCGGGGAAAGAATACAGAAGCCATTCAGAAGACCCAGACGCTGAGCAAGGTGATCCCTTCACTGCAATGTATATCAGCTTTCAGAAGCCATCCTTATTCTAAAGGTGGAGGACTGAGGCCAGAGCAGTCCCCTCCCCACCACCCAAGAAGGAGCCCTGGGCTCACATGTACAGCTCCTGCAAGTAACAGATGAGCTGGCCTCCCTTGCAGGATGCCAGCCTGTCTCAGCCTCTTGTGCTCGTCTGGAGCCTCAGGAAGTTGAGGAACTTCCCTGCCTGGAGGGGGGCCGTTTTACTTCCTCACCCCTGCACTGGGTCTATGTCGTGTCCCTTCTGTTCTCCCTATAGCCTGCCCCCTTTCCCGACAGGAGTCTCTTCTACCACATGACAGCTTCAGTCTGGAAATGAGCATCCCAGCCCGTGGCAACATTGGGAGGCAGAGGTGGCTTGCAGACCTCCTTCCCTCCTTTCTGTGCCCGGCGATATTCCTTTCCCACTGCACCTCCACATTCTCCCCTCCCTCCATCAAGTCCCCCACCCACATGAAAGGTAAAAGATAAATCATAATTGGACTCGCCCTTCTCAGGGGAGCTTTGCAAGGACCTACGTAGGGCTCCTGCTACAAGTGCTTTGGGCATCAGCCCCAGGTGCTGGAGGGTTTGGGGATGCAGCAGGATCCGACCTTGATATCATGCCCCAGAGATATGAACCATTCCAGGGTTAAAATAGAGCACTGCCTTTTATAGTCTGATAGTGCCCTTGGTGAGCAGGAGAGTGGTTGTCAACTACACATACAGGGACCTGGGAGTTAAGTGACTTGGCTAGTCACCCCTCTACAAGCAGTGGTTTGGTCTATTATTAGAGTCCTAGAGCTCCCAGATCACTGTTGACCATGTTTAACAGGTCATTTCATCTGGCAAACCAAAGCTAAGAGGAGTTAGCCAGATGTTCAAGTTCATATGCCAGTCCATGGCAGGCTAGCCTTGGGCAGTGAAGAGTGAGGGAGGGAACCAACTAAACTGTTGGGAGAGCTGGAGTCTACTCTTACTGCACCACCGTGGTGTCCTAACAAGTGAGGACAAGTCACTTCAGCGTTCTAGGCTTGCCTTCATTACCTCATCTGTAAAATGGGTACCATCGCCTCTGGCCCTTCTCCCGAATAAGCTCTCTGGGAAGCACAATGCACTGTGCATATCCCGAGCCTTCTGTGCTTTAGGACACAGGGCAGGGAGAGAAAGGCTCCTGGCTGCCATGTACTCACCCATCCAGACTTCGCCAAACTGCCCAGACCCAAGTTTCCTGACCAGCTTGAGAGACTGCCGGGGGATTTCCCATTCATCCTGGGCCCAGGGGTTTTGAGGAACCAGGCTCACACAGGGGTGGGTCAGCCTCTGGCATAAACCATCCCCTTTCTCTGCATTAGGGAAGAAGAGATGGGGCTGGAGATTACCAGAGCAACCGGATCACAGCTATCCTTCCCAGCTGTGTCCCCTTCTTGTTTTTGCCAACCACACTCCCATGTCCAAGTACACGTATGCCCGGGTACACATATACCACACACATTCTCTGCCATTTGTATTCATTTTGTATAAAGCGAGGCATGTTGTCCATTGACCTGCTCTCTCTAAGACTGAAAATCCTTGTTATTCTCCAAGTGGTCACATGCTGAGTGAGCCAGTAGAAGGGACTAGGGACATAAACTTTGAATCATTACGTTGATATTTGCCCAGCCTTGGGATAATCCCCCCGCAAGATGGCACCAGTGAGTCACATGATCTTGAGATCTTAGTAATAGATTCAAGGGCTCCTCTCCCCGCCGCCCCCCAACACATCCTCCGCTCTTACGAGAATAATGTTGCACCAAAGCCTGGAGAGTAGGGAAGGTGATGCGGGGGGAGATGTAATAGCCCCCTTCATCCAGGGAGCGGATCTTGTAGTGTTTGATCATCTCCCCCTGGGTGGTCACATCCTTCACAGTCAAAGAAAAGGCACCTAGAGGAGTAATAAAGACACAAGGTGTACGAAGGGAAAATCAAGATTGAGATTTGGGCTTCATTTCAAAGCCTCCCCAAATTCTGCTCCCCATTTTGACCCTTTCCACCATAAGTTACCTTTCTTTCACCCCAACCTCAACCCTCCAGAAAGCCTTCCTTATTCCTCTCCACCCAACTCAGACCTTGATGTTTCTCTCCCAAAACTCAGCCAGGGAGTCCCGGAACTCTGGAGCAGGGGCAGGATGTTCTCGTAGCAAACATGCTGTCCCCCACTTGGGGACCTGGTCATTCGGGGACCCCCTTTGCTGTGGACTATTGAGAAATGTAGAGTTACTGGAGGAACTAGGGGATTGATTGATTCATGGATTCATTCACCCATTCATTCTAGCTGAAAAGGCTGCCCTGTCCCCACAAGGAATAGCAAATCCCAAATTTAAGCACTCATGTCCGTGGAGGAGAACAGAATAACTTATTTCCCAAATTCATACACATCTACGCACCTTGTCATGTATATTACTGTCTGCCTGCAGACAAGGGTAGGTAGCAGATGCTAAAGGTTAAGAGCAATCTAGGAGGCAAGAGTTTCCACTGGAGAAAAGTCTTTCCACAAACTTGATGTTTTTAATAAAATGCCTCTGTCCAGATCTCTGCCTACCACGCCCGCCACTCTTAATTAGAAGATGAGGAAACTGAGGCCAGGAAGGGGAACGTCCCTTGCTCTGGGTCACCTGCCGGTTAGCGGCAGGCTTGAAGGCTCCCCATCCTCCCTGAGGACGCGTTTGCGGTAAGCGATACCACGCTCCCCCGCTAGGTGTCAGGCTCGGACGCCTCTTCTTCTGGTCGCCCACGCCTGGTTTTTCCGAGGTGCCCGTTTGTCTCCATCGCAAACCACCTTTCCCTCTCATCTCCCTTAGCTATTGAGCCTCTCATCACCTACTTGCAAAACGATGCAAGAAGTGTGTGCACCTTGCCATGGCCAGGCCCATCCCACGCCCGCTACCCCAGCTCCACCCTGCACGCTGCAACCTGTCTCCCCCACCTCGCCCCGGTTAAGTGCAACAGTGTCCCAGTATCTAAGAAACCGGAGAGTGGCTCTAGTGGGTTCATTCAACCTCACACCACCCCGGTAGTGAGGAAGAGGGCCTTTCTTCCCCCCTCCTTTTTTTTTTTTTTTTCCAACTGTACCCTGTGTAGGATGCATCATAAGAAGCCTGGGAGACCCTGCTCTCCTCCCCACGATGCTGCTACGGGAGCTCATGATTTAGGGCCTCCCGCTTGCGGGGGTTCATCCAAGGGCCTGCCCCCCATTTCTTTTCACAGTTCAATATTCTTCTTAAAGGAGACCTCCAAATCCTATCAGCTGCAGGTTCAGGGCTCCCAGAGATTGAGATTTAACACCCGCAGAACTGTCTGCCTTTGGACTGGGAAACTAGTTGGTCCTCACACAGATACCAATAAACGGAGGCTTGAGAGGCTAAGGGACGTCCTGGAGGCAACATGGGGTGAGAATTCATTTCCCCTGCTTCTGAGGGCAGAGTTCCTTCCTTGTCTTACATCTACTGGCTGTGGTTTGCAGATGTGGATGGAAGGCACTTGCTTCGGAGTTGTGAGGAGCGTGTGTGCACAGGTGTCTATGTGCATATACATGTGTGGGGGCTTGGTGATGCTGGGGCAGTCCTGCAGCCCCGGCTCCACCTGGCCAATTTCCAGCGTGGACTAGCTTCCCCAGGGTGGTCAAGGACAGGAGGTGTAGCCCCACCTTTAGAGAACCCCCTTCCTCCATCCTCAGGTCAGGGGTCCCTTTCTCTCCAGAGGGCACCTTAGCAATAGACAATGACTAAGACATCATGTGCAGGGGGAAATCACATGATTCTGGGACTTGCGTCAACATAGCAGGGGTGGGGTTACACAGGAAACAAGATTGGTTGAGCGATCATCACAGCGGAGTGTTGGGTACAAGGGGTTCCATTATACTATTCTCTCTACTTCTGTACATGTTGGAAACATTCTATAAAAACAAAACAAGTACATCACCTCCAGTGATTCCCATATCATTTCTTGGTCATAGGTGCTTTGCCGTTAAAATGGAATAGTAGCGATATGGCAATATCCATATATATATATATATGTATGTATATATATACACACACACACACACACACACACATATAGATAGATTTAATTCATCCGCTGGTGCATTTCCAGAAATTCTGTACAGAGCACCCAACTTCCCAATGCACCCCTCCTACTCCTCAACCTGACCCTGACCCTTTGAAGGGCAGGGAGGCGTCGGGGTCTCCCTTGAGCCTCCCAGGGTGTAATGAGCAGCTCTCTTGGTCCCACTTTCGCTGTTCTGGTGCTTCTACTCACTGCAGTTCTCAAGCTGTGATGGAGCTGAGGGACAAGGCCGGCGGGGTGCTCCCACTAAGCAGAACCTCTCTCTCCTCTCATTGCCCCAACCACAGGGAACCAACTTGCAGCCCAGCCACCGTCTCTGCCCTTCCTCCTCTGATGCCACGGTCACCACCCCCTCTCCAGTTAAAAATTGGCCACAAGGATGTACGAGGTCCTTATGGGCCATGTCGTGATGAACAAAGGCTTTCTTCACATTGCTTGGGAAATTCCCTTCCATCAGCCCATGACAGGCTAGCTGGACACACTGTAGAGCTCCTGCAGCCTCTTAGATGATGTGGGCTCTGACCCTCTGACCCCTGTTCACTGTTGGCCTCATGGGAGTCACTTCCTCCCTTAGGGACTCAGTTTCCTCACCTTTCAAATGGGGGTATTGGCTCAGCATCCCAAAGATGGCAAATATGTACCATATATAATAAGGTTTGGAGCAGCATGTTCATAACAGCCCCAAGCTGGAAACAGCCCATGTCTCTCAACATTAGAAAGGAGAAACAGCTTACAGAATATTCATATGCTGGGTTCTGTACAGCAGTGAAAATGAACGGAATACTGTCCTCCTCGACAACATGAGGGGACCTGTTATGGGCTAGACTGTGTCCTTCCTAAATTCCTGTGTTGGAGCCCTCACCTCCAGTACCTCAGAATGTGACTCTATTTGGAGATGAGAGCTTTAAAGAGGTAACTACTGAAGTCATCGGGGGCAGGGGGGGCCTAACCAATATGACTGGTGTCCTTGTTAGAAGAGGAAATTAGGATGCAGACTGAGGACAGACCAGGTGAGGACACAGGGAGAAGGCGGCCATCTGCAAGCCAAGGAGAGAAGCCTCAGAAGAAACCAACCCTGCCGCCACCTCAATCTTGGACTGCCAGCCTCCAGCACCGTGACACAGTACATTTCTGTGAAGCCCCCCATTTTCTGGTACTTTATTCCAGCAGGTCTAGCAGATTAATATAGAATGTCACAATGTCGAGTGGAAGGGACAAGACATACAAAAATAAAAATGGTATGATTCCACTTGCATAACGCTGAAGAATATATAAAACATGGGTGGCAAGGAAGGATTTCCCTAAAAGTTGGGGCACCTGGGTGGCTCAGTCGGTTAAGCGTCTGCCTTCGGCTCAGGTCATGATCCCGGGGTCCTGGGATCGAGTCCCGCATCGGGCTCCCTGCTCGGCAGGGAGTTTGCTTCTCCCTCTCCCTCTCCCTGCTGTGTTCCCTCTCTTGCTGTCTCTCTCCTGCGCTCTCAAATAAATAAATAAAATCTTTAAAACAAAGAAAAAAAAGAAAAGAGGATTTCCTTAAACACTGAGATAGCAGTGACCTCTCTGGGGGGTGGGGAGGTTGAGTCAGAGAGGGGCACAAGCGAGAAGTGAGAGGGGCTGTGGACGTCTGGAATGTTCGCTCTCTTGTGGCTGCACAGGTGTTTACCTATTATAACTCTATAATTATACCCTCACTTATAATTTATGCAGCTTTTATAAGTTTTATATGTCAAAACAAAGGAACTTTAAAAAGGAAAGGAGAGAAAAACAAATGAAAGAGAAAGAGAAAGCCCGGTGGCCTGTGGGCGGCGGCGGCAGAAATGTTTTGCTCCGTCAGGGGTTTTGAATCCATGAGTGCTCCCAGTTCTCCATAATGGCCACCCCCCTTCTTTCATATCCAGCTATGGGCCATTCTCCAAACTTCTGTCACCTTCCAGGCTCCTGTAATTGCCTCTGGCTGAGATGATCTCTAAGGAGTCTACTGGCTCCCAAATCCTTTGATTCCAAAAGGTGGCTCTGGGTCACACCCCTTCTCCCGACCCCGCCAGCCTCAGTGTCCCCATTGAGCCAGAGATGATGCACAGTGGCCTGCGTGGGAGCAGCCCTCCAATTGCCTCTCCTCCCTGCGCCCTGTACGTTTCCAGCCCAGCCAAGGAGACCTGTTGGTGCCACAGCCTCACACTCAGCTCCTGGGCACTAGACGGGCTGTCCAGGCAGGTCCTGAATTGACAGGGAGACAGGAGACCCAGAAGCTACCGGGTTCCCCTGGCTGGCATTCCCCTCCCAGAAGCAGTCTCGGGGGGCTTCCTGGAGCCTGCACAAGAAGGGTGTGCTAGGGGCCATGCTTACCTTTGTTGGTTTCACTCTCTCTGATAAGAAAGGAGCCCGCCTTATTGATTGGAGCCAGAAGCTGCCTCTCAGCATCTTTCCGGCTAATTGATCTAAAGAACCATCTGGAAAAGGCCAAAGGCAGGCAAACCTCAGAGGCTGGCCATGCTTCTCAGAATATTCTTATCTGTACCTCCCTTCTAAGCTGTATGCCCCCCCAAAAAAATAAAATAGCGTTTTCCTGTTTTCAGGTTAACCCTGAACTAACAACACTTCTCATATCTTGATTCATGAAATGCCCTTTGGCCCCTGGGCCCCCTTTTCTTTTCACTTCCCATCAGCAGATGGACTTACTGTTTTCTTGAACCGAGAACATTTTTGGGGTGCCCTTTGTTAATTCTACTCTGGGAAAAGGCACCCAATCACTTTCTCTCAAAGCACCCCCCTCCTTGAGGTGGAGTCTGAATTCCACAAAGTACTGTGACTCTCAGAGCACAGATTCCTGCCATGTTGCTCTCAAGCATGGACCAGTCAGTGTGGAAATAAGAACCCATGGCCCCACATGCTGTTCCAGGGAGAGGCATAGGGCTGGGAGTGCCAGACAGAGAACCCTCCCAAGGGCGACCATCGCTGGATGAGAGGCCACTAACCTGGTTCCAGCACTTTGCTCATGAGTTTGATAGACTCTGAGCTCTTTCAGGGGAAAAGCCACATCCTACTCATTCTTACAGCTTTCTCAGTATTAGGACAGGGTCGGAGTCTGGGTCCTGTTTGCTCAGTGCGTGCTGTGGGAGGGAATGAGTGACTGGTGCTGTGTGGAAGTGGGTTATGAGGATGCTGGGGAGCACTGCTCTCTGGAGGCCAATTCTGGTTGAGGCCACCATGCTGTGAGTCCCCCTGAGGTCTGCGCCCCTGAGGCCTGCCCACTGGAGGCACGGGAGAAGAGGGAGCTGATCACCAGGCCTTGATGTTAGCTTGCAAGGCCATGGGCCAGGAGGGACATTTCCCTCCAAGTGAGCCAGGGGAGGGGCAGCTCCATTTCCCAGACGGGAAGAGTGAAGTGAGCACGGAGGGGTGGCTCCCTGAGCACGAGGTGGTCTGGGACGGTGGATAAGCCCACCCTGGCAGTTCCACTTGGTGCCCCTTTCCTATTCCTTCCACGCTGGGCTCACAGAGGCTCAGCTTTCAGCCACCTTCTGACCCCTCCCTGCCCAGCAGACCCCAGAGCAGAAGCAGCAAGAGTGCCTCTGCTTTGAGGGGCCTTCCATGTGTCCACCTACTTTTCCACTTCCAAGGTCTCCACTCGGGCCACAAAGTTGCTGGGCACATAGCCTTCTCTTCCAGTGATGAGAGACCTGGCCAACCACCAGTCTCCAACTCTACGGAGGAGGAGGGAAAACGAAAATGGCAGAGTGGCTCTTGTGGGCCTCTCTTGGGGGGCCGCTCACAGCCCTCCCCCCTCTCAGATTGCATCCCTGAGGCAGAGCAGTCATGGAGGGCAGATGAGAGGGAACGTGTACAGGTTGCTCAGTGAGGGGGGTTGCTAACTTGCTGAGCATATCACAGCCTAAGCTGCCCCTGGTCCAGGTAGGAAGGGGATGATGCAGCCTCCAGGGGAAGAGTTTGTCCAGACAGCCTGACCACCCCAGAGGCCCCCTGTCTTCCGTGAGTAACCTTCCTCTTGATTAATGGGACAGATCGAGAGTTCAGTGAGGGAGTTGGGACTGGATGGGAGGAGAGCTGCTGCCCAAAGCAGGAGCCGGGCAGCCCACGTATGCCCAGAAGGTTGGGGCTTTCGTGGTTTTGGCTCAAGGTCATCACAGAACTTCAAGAACAAAAGCAGAACCTCACGGCTCCACAGAACAAGCTGGATGTTTGAGAGAGAGCAGACTTTGAAGGAGTTTCTGAGAGGGAGCACTGGAAACCAAGTAAAGTTGATTTCACGAGTAGAATCCTGTGGAAGGTGTGGTCTGGCAAAGGGGACGCACAAAGTTGTGGTGGGGCCACCAGGCAAGCGCTGTCCCCCTCAGGAGGGCTTCATGGAGGAGGTGACGTTCAAGGTGGGTTTTGAAGGAAGAGTACGATTTTGACAGTGGGGCAGGAGATAGTGAATGGGAACCACCTTGTGAGAAAGACTTTGGAATGGTAGATAGAAGGAAGACGACTGGGTCAAGGTGAAAAGAAATGGCCATGACTGGGCTGCAGGTGGAGTGATGGAGGAGATACTCATGGAGGGTGGGGGTGGGGTGAGGTGAGGAGGTGGATGGCTGGGTGGCGCTGCTGCTGTGATAGGGAGCCACAGAGGCCTCTGACCACAGAGCTGCATTCCAGAAACTTACTCCTTCAGTATCTGTAGCTTCTCCCCCTTCAGCATCTGCAGGTCCCTGTCATTCACCGAGCTGTAGTTGTACAGGGCCACCACGAAATGCTCCTCTAGAACGAACAAAGAAGAGATGGGCACTGCTCAGGCCCAGCAGAGTGAGAGCAGGGGCTGGATAAGTCTGTGCTGTGGGCGTCTCTGGCTGCCATGAGGTCAGGAGGATGCAGGGACAGAGGGGAAGCTGTGGTGTGCTTTCTTGCTCACCGATGCAGCAGAAGACACTCCTGTCTAGCAGAGGGACCTCCTGACCTTGCTGCCGGGAACAAGGATGGGCTGCCCCACAAAGCCCATCCTGTCTTCCCCTCTCGTCTCCACATAGAAACTCTAAGGCCTGGCCAGTGCCATGCTCTCCAGGAGCGGCTAGCCCAAAGATCTAGGGAGATTGGCCGTGTTGGGCTGATGGCTGCCGTCCCAAGTTTGGGAACGAGCGTTGGCTGATTCCTTATTGCCTTGAAGGCACATGAGCTTCCCTTCTCTTCCCTTTCCCCAGCTGCCCCAGCTGCTTCCCCTTCCCCAGCTGCCCCTTCACATCTATTCCAAGGGGGTCTTGGAATGTGGCAGCCATAACCTTGACCTGTAACCGTGCCCAAGGCCCTGTCACAGTGCGCCTGGCAGGCGATACCCCTGACTTGCTGCTGGTCCTGGGAGTGGACATCTGGACGACCACGGCCAGTGAGGAAGGCCTTTCTGAACAGCTCTGGGGAGCCAAGAGCCACTGGAAAATCACTTGGAGACCACCCAGCTTACCTGGGAGTAGATGACTCAGCTTTGTCACCTATGTGTGGTGTGACGGCTAGTCACCTCCCTATGGGGGGGAAGGGGGATTGGAATAGATGACAGCCCCCCCCTCCAGTTCTGAGATTCAAGTTATTGCACCAAAGGCAGTTAGCTTATTGTTTTCCCCAGGGCTTCCTTGCTGGGGCCGTGAATCCCCCTTGTAGGAAGTGATGGACAAGCCCTGTGGTAATTAACCGCATCCCCAGCAGGATGAGAAACACCAGGTAAGATTGCTCATCTGGTTTCAGCATCTTGCTCAGGAGTTTGACAGACTCTGAGCTCTTTCAGGTTGAGGAGCCACGTCTTATTCAATTTTGCAGCCTCCCCAGTATTTGGACAGAGCCAGGCTCTGGGTACTGTTTGCTCAGTGCATGCCGGGTGGGGGAATGAGGGATGCAGGCTCTGGCAGAGCTCCTGGTGCTCCTGCAAGCCAGTTCTGAAGGAAGCTATCATCCTGTGAGGAACCCCCCCCACCCCAAGGTCCAAACCCCTGACCCAGGAGGGCCAGGATCACTCTTTATGCAACCCCCCTGTCCTACCCACCAGAGTGGCAGTAGAGACTGGGGGTGAGGGAGGGTGGCCTGAGTAGTCAGAAGGTCAACAGCAGTTTTTGAAAGTGGGGAAGTGGGCAGAAAGATGGTGCTTCCATACGCAGAACAGACTCAGGGCAGGAGGGAAGACGCAGACCCATCAGCCCTCGCCCTTTGAGGTTGGGAGTTAGAATCTTTGAGAACTTGGGTTTGTTTTTATGCTGTTTGTATTTACTGTAATGTTTTTCTTTTTGTCTCATTTACAGTTTGTAAAGTCCTTTTTTTGAAAAACAAAACCCAGAAAGCCCCGCAGGCTCAGATACAGGAACTGGGGCTTTGTTCCTGGAGGGACCCCCACGGGCAGGGGCAGGTGAAGCCTGGGGCAGAGCTGGGCCACACCCTTCACCGTGCCTGGTTCAGCCCCCTTCCACCACAGCCTCTTCCTCTCTGACCCTAAAGGGGCTGCCCTGTCCTCTCCAGGAAGTTGCTCCCAACTGGGCCCCTATTCTGCTTGCACGCAGTCCAGGCCCAGAGCAGATGGCCTGTAGAGCCTCAGCTTCAAAAGCAGCCCCTTCTTACCTTGGTCCAGGCACGTGTCCAGAGGTGTAGGAGCCAGGTGGTTAAATAGGACCTGGAGCAGAAACACACACATACACACACACAAGCACACACACACACACGCACATGCGCACACGCACACACACACACACGCTGCATTAGTTCAGCGTTGCTGGGCAGGGAACCTGTTGCACCTGTCAGCTGTGTGCCTTGTAGGGAGCGGCTCTGTCCACAGGAGGTTGCACAGGGAAATTGTACACGTGTGTCACAACTCCTCAGGGACCAATGTCATCTCACACGACCCCTGGACCATATACGGGGTCAGAGGAGGGGGGTGTGGGGATGCCCCAGCGATGTAAGAGGCAGCTATGGAATCGGGGGGCGGGGGTTGGAAAGTCAGATCACCTGGATTCAAATGCTGACTCCGCCATTGAATGATGAAGCTGCAAAAGGGTATTTGTTCTTAGGGAAAATCATTTTAAAAGCACAATTCCCTAAAACTCAACAAATCTATCCCTAGGTATATACCCTGTAGAGAAACTTTTGCATGTGTGTACCCAGAAACATGTACAAGAATGCTCCCAGCAAAAATTACAATAATATGTAAGTATTGTAAAGGATGGAAGTCATCCTTATGACTAATGACAGAAAAATAGGCAAACTGGGGCACAGTCATGCAAGGAAATGCTACATACGCCACTGTGGGAGTTCCTGAGCTCTAGCTACGTGCATCAATGTTGATGAAGGTCACAGACATAACGGAGATCTGACAACCGAGGGTCAGAAGAATACATGCTGTTTGATTCGATTGATTGAAAGTTCATAATGGGCAAAATTAAAGTAAACAGGCTTTAGGAGTGTGCACATGTGATGATACAAAGAAGCAAAGCTCAGGAATGATAAACACATTCAGGGGAGGGACCTGCGGGGAGGGATGGACTTGGGGGGACAATGGTCACTTCTCCTGAAGGTCAGAGGGGCTGCGCTGGGTGTTCATTTCATTATTCTTTTAATCTGATGGATGTGTTATAAATATTCTTTGTTTGCCTTCCATATTTATTGAGCACAATTTTGAAGTAGCATTTTGCCAAATGGTATGTACAGTCTGACTCCACTGAAAATATAAACACATAATATAAATAACATCGAGAATAGGCAATTTTTAAAAATTATTATGTTATGTTCATCACCGTACATTACATCATTAGGTTTTGATGCAGTGCTCCACGATTCATTGTTTGCGTATAACACCCAGTGCTCCATGCAGACTGTGAAGGCGATTTTTTTTTAATTATTATGTTATGTTCATCACCGTACATTACATCATTAGTTTCTGATGTAGGATAACATCGAGAATAGGGTCTGGGGGCAGGAACTCTGAGGTGCTAGCTCTGGGTATCGCTGGCTATTGGGATAATGAGTATTTGTCATTTTCTCCATAATTAGTATATTATGTAATTGTTTAAAAGTAAAAACATTGAGGCACCTGGGTGGTTCAGTCTGTTGAGCATCTGCCTTCGGCTCGGGTCATGATCCCAGGGTCCTGGGATCGAGTCCAGCATTGGACACCCTGCTCAGCGGGGAGTCTGCTTCTCACTCTCCCTCTGCCCCTTGCCCCTGCTCATGCTCTCTCTCTCTCAAATAAATAAATAAATAATCTTTTAAAAAAATAAAGTTAAAAACATTCCAGGCTCTATAACTTATTAGCATGTAACTTTGGGGAAATTAAGTCTAAGTCTGAGTGTACCCCGGCCATCATTCACTCATTCAACAAACATCTCATTGTTCTGTGCCAAGCCCTGAACTAAGTTGGGACACAGATAAAATGCCTTGTTTGTCTAAGAAATGGGATTAGCAATCCCCACGACCCATCAGTCCAACAGTGGTTGGACTAAAGTGATGACCAGTTGAATGTGCCCCTGGAGGTAGAGAGCAAGAGAGTGGGTTCCAGGCATGACTCCCAACTGCCCCAAAGATAGGTGGCCAGTGTCACAAACAATCATCTAAAAATGCCTCTTTGGAATGCAATAGCCTCCATGGAAGGGTGCTACGTGCTCTGTAAACAAGTCAGAATTGCATCTCAGTCTCCACAGGAACCTGAGGGTTTGCTGGGGAGGTGTGAATAGGTTTAGGATTCCTCATCCCTGGAGAGTAAGCTTCTTAGAATGCTGACAGCAGTGCCGTGAAGGGGGCACTGATGTCCAGGAGCTTCTGGGTAGGGATGGGGGCAGCAGATGTTGCTAAATCCCTCAGACCCTTTCCCACCACACCCTCTTCTCGAGCTGACCTTTTTGATTTCTTTTTCTCTTCAAGGCTGCACTTGCAAAATGAGAACTGGTTAAGAATTATTGGGGACTACCCATGCCCGGTCCTGTGCTAAGGGTAGTATGTACGGAATTGCATGGTTGTATATACATCACATATTGTTACAGCCCTATCAGAAAGGCACTTTCACTATACCCATTTTACAGATGCAGAAACTGAGGCATAGGGGAGTTAAGTAACCCGCTTCAAAGCACACAGATGTTCGATGTAAACACCGGCGATCCGGCTGCTAAACGTTCTACTAAACTGCCACACCAACATGAGGTGGTGCCACGTTTGGTGGCAGGGGCAAGGAGCCGATTTGTCAGAGCCCTGAATTAGTTAGAGATGGCCCCAAAGCTGGCTGGAAACAAGCAGCAGCCTCCAGAGAGCCTCATGTGCTCTCTGCTCTTCTCCCCCAACCCCACCTCCATCTGGGAACAGCCATCACTCACCAGGGGTGGCAGTGGTGGGGGGTCTTTGCTCTGGGTGCTGACCTTCACAGGACTCCATTGGCCCTTACTCTTCTCCTTCACCTGCTTTTTGCTGCTCACCACTCCCATCCTGGCAGAGAGCACACAGCAGATTGGTGATGTGACTAGGTCTTCAGAGCCTCAGTACAGACGAGCTCCCCCAACCCCGTCCGGATGGCCAATTAGAAAGAAAGGGAGGAAGGAGGGAAGTGGGGGGGGCAATGAAGGTCAAAATAAGAACATGGAGTCAGTAGGGGTCTGGCAGGCTAAGCTTTCATCGTCTTTTTTTCTCCAGAGCAGGAAGAAGGGGTCCAGAGAGGAGGAATGACGAGGTTTAGGTCACAGAGATTATCTGGTCCGAGCAAACTTCCAGAAACTGATGGGGTGGACCCCTCTGCCCTGGGCACAGGAGCCCTGGCATCCAGAAAGAGTCCGACAACCTGTCTGGTGGTCTGGGTTCTAGTCTTCACTTTGCCACGGGAGGCATTACATGTTCCTCTCTCAGCCCGTGTAAGAACATGTCTGATTTTCTAAGAACACTCAGATTTTCAGGTGAGAAGCTATAAATTCAGGGCACAGTGATGGTTCAGGCATCTGAGGCCAACTGTCTCTTCTCAGTAATCTCAGGGAAACTTCCCTAGAGGTGAGAGAAATATAGCCAAGATTTTTCTTGGGTAAAGGATCCTAGAATGACAGAAGTGGAGAAAGTGCTAGAGACCACAGCCAACATCACCATGACATCAGCACCACCTCCATTCCAGGGGTGGTTATTTAGGAAGGGCTTACTCTTGACCAGGAACTTCACAAAACCTGTCTCCCATCATCCTTTTCACTCTAAAGTAAATGTAAGTAGGTGTTATCACTGTCCCAGACTGAGGTTTGACATGTTCAATAGCTGATTCACGGTCACTTAACCTTTGAAGAGCCAACTCTGGAGCCCTGGCTGACCCCACACCACCATACTCCACCTCACACCTGGCCTATCCCCAAGATGCAGACATTTAGTCCCTGCTCTTGTCTGAAGGGCTGTGCGGTTGATGGAGAGTTCCTGACGGCTTTCGGATATGTTCACAGCATTTCTTTGATTCCAAGATGTACCTTTTTTCACATTTCAATATCTCTGAAACCATGATGTATTTTATAATTGATGATGGTTCATAAAGTAATTAGCAGCATCTTTTTCCCCTATGTTAGTGATACATAAAATAAAGGCTAGCCTTCCAAACAGCGGTGTCTTAGATTTAATGAAACGCAGTGGTACTTTTCTTCCAGAAAGTTGAAAGCGCATGTTTCATATCACTTCCCTTCAAACTCACCTTGAAGAAAAGGAAGACTATAATAATTTTAAATATAAGACAGAGAGCCACAATAACAAATAATCCATAAGTGCTTTGTTGGAGTACGCCTTGTGTACAGAGCATTCAATACCTCACATTTGTAAAAGAACAGGACTTTTTTTGTTTTTAAGTAGTTTCTTTATGTCAGTTCAGATAAACCTTAGCAGCAAATGAAATTTGGTGCCAAAGTGAAACATCTCAGTTTTCAGAGATTTTTTAGTATCAGAATTTTGCATAAGGGATCATGGGTTTCTATTAAGAATTGATACTGAGCCCCATGTCACGTCAGGCTCTCTGCTCAGCAGATGGTCTGCTTCTCCCTCTCACTCTCCCTCTGTACTCTCCCCACCCCTCAAATAAATAAATAAAATCTTTAGAGGGGGAAAAAAAGACTTGATACTGAATTTTATCAGGTACCTATTGAGTATCTCTTCATATGATAATTTAATTTTTTGCTGTGATGAATTATGTTGATAAATTTTCTGCTACTGAAACTTCCTTCCATTCTGAAATAAAAGCTGTTTGGTTACAATTCATCAGTCTTTTTGATACATAGATGGATCCTATTTGCCAATATTTTATTTCAAATGAGAATCAATATTCCCGAATGGGTTCTGTGTATGAGGAGTTAACACTTAAGATGATGCTGGCTTCATAACATACAGGAGATCTGTCCACCTTTTTTCCTATGGCCTTGAATTGTTTTTTTTATTTTTTATTTTTTTGGCCTTGAATTGTTTAATAACCCTGGGACTCTCTGTTCTTTAAAGGCTAACTAGAACTTGGCCAGTAAGTCATCTGTTCTTGGGGTCTTTTTAAAAAGTAGATATTTAAGTAAATTTCCAATTTCTTTTATAGGAATTTGTCAGTTCCCATTTTTTCTCCTCCTCGCACCATTTTGATGATTTATATGATTTATTAGTAGAAATTTGATTTCCTCCACGTTTTCCAGTTTGTTGCCATAAAGTTTTATGTAGTATTGTCTTGTAATTATTTTAACCGCTTCTCTTTCTTATGTCCTCTTTCTAGCTCCTAATGTAAATTAAATGAACTTTCAATAATAATTACAATTTTTAATATTATAAAATTTATCTGAAGTTTTCTCTGACCAAATAAAGTTTTATCTAGCTTTAAAATGATGAAAAAGAAGACTGTAATCAAAACAGCATAAAATTGGAGTAAGAATAGACATATCATCAGTGGAGCAGAATAATGAGCATGCAAACAGATTCCAGTGCATTTGGAACTGCATATATGAAAAAGGTAGCATTTTACTTCAATGGAGAACTGATGGTTTATTTTAATAAATGGTATTAGGAAAATGGCTGTCTACTTAGAAGAAAAGACAATCAGACTCCTACCTCACACCATATTAAAAATAAATTCCACGTGTACTGAAAAAAATATTAAAAATTTTAAAAAATTTAATTGAAAGAAAATTTAGGAGACTATATATATGACCCAGAGTTTGGAGATAACAATTAACAATGATAGAATAGCCAGAAGCTGAAAGGACAAAAAGACATGTTGATAGAAAAAGACAAATTTATAAACGTGAAAGGTATTATATGGTAAAAGAAACCATTATGAAGTCAGTACCTGAGCAATAGATTGGGAAAAAGATTTGCAAGGCATACCGCAGATAAATGTGTTTATAATATACACAGAGCTCATGAAAATTAACAAGAATATGGGTCTAGCATACAACCCACTCAATAGAAAAATAGTAAAGATTGTAAATGTCAGTTTATCCAACACAAATCCCACTAGCTAAATAAACATGTGAAAAATGTTGAAATTACTTAGTGTTGGGGAAATGCAAACTAAGATAATAAAATAATCACACTACATCAGTAGGATTGGGAAAAAAATAAAAGGAGCGATAATACCAATTGTTGATGGTAAAGCAAGGGAGAATTATGTTTTCATACATTTTTGGTACAAAAGTATTTATTATAATTACTGTTCTTTCATCTCTTCTTCCCCATTGTATTTCCAAGATCAACCCTCAGTGAGGTCTGGGATCTTTGTCTTACTCATTGTTGAATCCAAATTGCCTGGCAAGGAGTAAGGACTTAATAAATATTTATCAGACAAATAAAATATGAAATATTACTGTGTAGAAATTCAGTTTTATTAAAATTTAAAAATATATATATCTTTAAATTTACAATCCCACTTCTGGGAATCTCAGAGACTGATCAAACATCATTATATAGGAATATATGGGATATGAAAACATTTATTACAGCAATCTTTGTAGCTACAAAAGCAAAACAAAAAAACCCTGTAACGGCTCACCATTTGGGGAATTATTGAATAAATATGCATTCTAAAATATCTAATATATTACACAAGTTTTAAAAAGAATGTACTAGATCTTTACAAGTGAAGCTAAGAGGAATTTCTAGAACATGCTGTTACATGAAAAAAGCAAGATGCACAGAGGTGCATGAAGTTATCCCATATTTGGAAATACCAAAGAATAAGAAAAGAAACCTCTATGTAGACACATGCATACATATTTATGTTACATGAAGAGAGTTTTGGGAGGATGAACACAAAGTTATTTACTCTCACTATTGGTGGTGGAGGTAGAGACAGACAAGGGAGGTGGAAAACAAAAGAAAACAAAAGCAAATTATAAAAATCACGTGCGCGCGCGTGTGTGTGTGTGCATATTGTAGGTGTTACTGGAAAGCAGTGCCTCAAAAAGATATTTCCTAAAATGTTAATGCTGTTTACTTCAGGTGATAGGACTTCATGTGACTTTTACCTTCTTTCGTATAATTTTACATGTTCCTTGAATTCTTTAATAGGAAGCATGTATTATTGGTACAAGCAGAAAAAGAGAATACCAGTGACTTGTCCAGCAACAGAGAGGGACAAGGCCTGGAGCCAGGACCAGCCCCACTGAGCAACCACCAGGGCTGCCTGAGCCTCACCCCTTTCCTGACCTCTGGCTCAATGAAGGGTCAGCAAACAGTAGCTTCTAGAATTTTCCCAACTTGGACTCCTGCTTCTGCCACTACCCAAATGATCAGCCATATCTGGTCAGCCATATTGCCACCAATTTTAAACTTCCTGAGCAAATGTTTATGTCCACTTAACATAACCGAACATTTAAATAACTTGACAAAAAGTAAAATTCCTGAAATCAAATCACCCACTACTTACACTTCTTTGTCCTTCGACTCCTTAGCAGTGTGTATACAGATGACTTTTCATGGTTTCTATACATATTAGGTTCTCTATGGGTCCTTCCACCCCAATAGCTCTGACTGGAGACTAGAGTTACTCAGGGGGCCATGTGACGACCAGAGCTGTGTCTGGGTGCTGGGGCTGCCACCCTGCTGTGATATTTTAACAGTTTCAGGCTGGGCGGAGCCAGGAAATGAAGAAGTCCATGCAAAACCAAAGTGTAACACGTGCAGGTCCTGGGTGGCTCCAGGGGCTTTGCTGCACCGAGAAGACATTGGCTTCCATTCCAGTGGTGAAGGAGGGAAGGATGGATGGAAGAAAGGTGTGAGTCTGTGTGTGTGTGTGTGTGAGAGAGAGAGAGAGAGACGGGTAAGGAGGGCAGGAGAGAGGGTGTACACGTGTGAACCTGTGCATGTATCCATGTTGCGTGTGTGTGTGCGTGTACGTATGCGTGCATGCGTGTGTGCGTGCGCTCGCGCGCGCGCGCGTGTGTGTGTGTGTAGTGGGGGGCAGCTAGCAAGAGGACGGGAAGGTGAGGCTAGGGACTTCTGT